GAAACGACCAGCTGCATGCAACAAACACTGGGAGCTCCTTGATGCGAGCTACTGAGTTGTACATTATTCCAAGCTCATGCCCCACAATGCGAGTACCTTTAACTGGGCCCTCAGCTGATTCGGACAACATAAATGAATCAGAGATTCCTGTCTCTCCCACTCTCCCCCAATACAGTGTGTGGGATTACAGCTCCAATCATCCCCAGTCCACATAGCCACTTCATAGGGGAAGAGGCTGGGGCCGGGAAATCTTGCCAATTACAATTTGTGCCCAAGCCTCCTTTCCTCCTCACCAGCCATACATCCAGGCTATTTATGGCCAGGTAGGTGGATTGCATGCTGCGAGGCTGAAGATGCTGCAGAACGCCGCTGCTTGACCTCACGCCGAGTTCGGAGGCTGCTGAACACCTGCGGTGAGTGTGATAGGACTGCACCCTCGTCTTGCTTGCCTTCGTCGTGCAAAGGAACTCAAGGTGACAGACTAACTTCAAAACAAATACTGTTCATAAACCCCCAAGCAACAATGCTTGCAGCTGGACTGAAAAAAAAGGTATTTAGGTCAAAGATAATGATATCATCACTTTTTGATCTGGGCCTAAATATTCTGGAAGCCATTCTGAAATCTGCCTTTTTCGGGAGTCTATTTGTGACCTTTCTATATCAGCATTTTTATATTAAAAAACTGATTCAGAAAAAATGCAAGTAGAGTCCTTAAAATGTTAGATTTCAGAACGGCAGATTTCACACAAAAGGCATTATTGTATTAAAATGTTTTTCTATATTAAAATGTATTTGTCTGCCCAGATAAATCATGAATGCATATGAGCAACTTGCTGAGAAGACTATAGAACCCATGATGCAAGGCCATTGTGAAATGCATGAGAATGTTTTGGCTGTAACCGACATGGCCACCTGGAACCCTCGAAATGGCCAAAATCAGAATACACAGGAAATCTGTTATTCAAAACTAGGTATAGAGGGAACAACCTCCAAGTATTACAGAAAGAATATTTTAAAGAGATTTTTATTTTCAAAATGATGTAGACATGGGGAGGGAGACATTGCAAAGTTTATTATTAATGGCACTCAAAACAGAATTCAGTAAGTCCTGTCCCTTTAGACCAGGGGTCCTCAAACTTATTCAACGGGGGGCCAGTTGAAAGGCGGCAGCGGTGGGCACGGGCATGGAGAGGCGAGGTGGGAGGCGCAGCGAGGCAGCGGCGGAGGTGGGCATAGGACCAGCCGCCCCCAGCCTGGCCGCCCTGGGCTCGCATAATCAACAGGTGGGTCAGATAAATGGGCACCGCGGGCCACATCTGGCCCACGGGCTGCAGTTTGAGGACCCATGCTTTAGACTCCTGGAACCAAACTCCATCTCAGTGATCAGAATAACACTGGATGTTACTGATGAAGCACATCCTTTTGGGAAACCTGTGGACGGTGCCCAACCCATGGAAAAGAGATGTGCACATGCATGATGGAGAGGCCCTTATTCACATAAGGCTATACTTAAATAAGGTGTCTGGAGATTTTGCTAACTATCCCATACTCACTCTTTGAGAGGGACAGAAGGGATGAATGGGGAGTTAGTATCTGAGAGCTAGAAATATGTGCACAAAGAGACTGCCACAAGAGCCCAGAAATCATAGCAAGTGGTGCTAATGGTCTGTGCGCTTCCCACCACCCCTTTCTGTTATCAAAATCACCACCATACTCAGCTGCATCCAAAGAGAACTGACTGTCTGGGGATCCCCTCGCCAGTCCCAAATGCCTTCTCCTCCACTGTTATCCATTCCTTCCCCCGAAGTGGATGTGTGCCTTGCTTCTCTTCTCAGGGCTATCATTCCCATGTTCAGAATGAGAGCCGAGTCTGGCTACTGGCTCGTCAAAGGCTCTCCCTGCCTGGAGTCTTCCCAGTTCCTGTCACAACCAGCCACTGCATGCACATGCCTGCCTACTCAGTCACATTTACCCTGTGGATAAATAAAGCAGATGTGGCTTCAGATAACAGGAGACTCTGGCCTTACTCAGGGGGGACCTTTCTAGATGGGAATCTGCACTATTTCCCTTACTCCAAGTTGTGACAAACTAGCCCTGCCGTGTGTGGGCGCCCTCCAGCTCAGCCTGGAGGAATGCTGAATGGGGCCCTGCACTTCTACCCCAAAGGGCATCCCAGAAACACTGCCTGAAGTTCCCGGGCGCCAGCGCAGGGCTTCCCCTGTAACCTGCAGACAGAGCTCTTGTCTCACTGGAGGGGGAACACTTGCCAACAGCTCACACGTTACTGCGGAAAGCAGAAACCTGCGGATCAGGGAGCAGCTTTGCTGAACTCACTGGAACGCACTTCAGAGTTGACACGGATCAGCGTTCTCAGGAAATCTGCCACCTTGTGTATGTCTATTTAGAAGTAAGTCCTATGGAGTTCAACAGGGCTTACTTCCAGCCCAGAGAAATGGGTATATGGCTGCAGCCCCAGCCTTAAACAGGCTCTGGTGAAGCTCTTCTCCTGTGCACCTGCGGTACAGCTCAATAATGGGGGGCCGGGGGGACTTCAGATAGGCATGGGTGTTACTTCAACCGTGGAGCACACAACTTCGTTTCTCTTCTCTCCTCCATACTTTGCAACCGCTCCTGCATTCCTGACACGCAACAACAATAGAATGGATTCTCAGCTCTGCCTTTCAAAGCATATTCTGAACTTTTGCAGTTTTGCCTTTAGATCATCGCTCCATCATGACACGGAGTTTGCGTCCGCGTCTCCACCTTCTTCACCTGTTGCTGTCTGCGTGGTCATCAGCTAGCACAATCCCCCCCCCCCCCGCCGGCCCGGATCAAAGCTAGTAGCACCCGTGCCAACGCAAGTGCGAATCCCGAAGCGCTCCTTGCCAGACTCGGCTCGCGATCCTGTAAATGGCGGTGATTCCGGTGGCGACGAGGATAGCAACCGGCGGCGGTAGCCGGACGAGCAGGCTTGGCCCCCGAGGCTTGTGAGGGGGGGGGGAGAGGCGCTCGTGTCACGCCTCGGGCGCTGCGAGCGCGGGACTGCGCGGAAGGGGGGGTCGCCCGAGCGCGGGCTTTAAAGCGCGTCACGCAGCCCGCCCAGCCGAGCCCGGATCGGACAGGCGGAGGCGCCGCTCTCCAAAGGGGCCGCGCCGCTTCAGACCGCGTGGCCGCGGGCGCTGGACTAGAGATCGCCTTGCAGGTAAAACGCGCGGGCGAGCGGCGCGGGGCCGCCCTGTCGCTCGCCTCCAAGCCGCCGCCGCCGCGTTCCCCAGGGGCCGCCTCCGGTCGCCCCCGAGAAGCGCGCGGGGGTTTCCCGGCTTGCCTCCGCTCCTGGCCCTCGGCCCTCGGAAGTGCCACTCCGGAGGCGGATCGGGGGGCTCACGACTTGGGCTTCTGCAACCCACCACTTGGCCTCCGTTTGTCGTGGCAGCCGCCAAGTGGCCCTTAAGGCTGAAATTCGAGGTAGCCGCGTCCGGCAGGACTCGGTCTTCCCGGGTAGGAGCCGGGCGTAGGACAGAGCCACTGAAATCAGTGGGAGCCCGCGGCCCCAAAGGGGACTCACTCCGGAGGTCACTGACGCGGCGGATTGTTTTAGAAGCGGAGTTACTGGGCGCTCCTGCGCCCCTCGCCCCCCAAAGAAAGGGGCGCCCGCGCGCACCTTCGGGTCGGCGGTAACGGGACCCCGGGGAGTCTGGTGTTGCGGCGCCTTTCGGAGGGCGGAAGGCGGCTTAGCTCTCGATTCTACGCGACCAATAGAGGAGAACGGGACTTCTCGAGAGCAAGGGATGCGACGATCGCAGGGACGAGCTGCGGTTTTCCCGCCCAGCCCGGAATAAAACCGACGGGTAGCGCGGATCCGCTGCCGGCTCTGAGCGCGGGCGGAGGCGGCACCACTGGAAACCCCGCCAGGTGGAAAGCAGAGCGGCGGACGCGGTTGCTCTCGCCCCTGCGGCTCCGGCAACGCCGTCTGTGCTGGGAGAGAAAGGTGCCCCGGGTGCAGTGCTCACTTCTCGGGTAAACAGAGTTGGAGGGGAAATACACAATTGCGCACCCTCGTAACTGGATGTGTTAACAGGGACCAGGTCGGTGGTCCGTCCATCCCGCTCCCAGTTCTCTCCCGATCCTGCCCAGCAGGGAAAGGGCCTCAGCAGGAACGGCTCCTTTCTCGGGGAGGCATGTGCGCTGTGTCTCTCGCTTGTCTGAACCCGGCGTCTGCCCTTTGGCTAGTGACTTTCTTTAGAGCCCCCCCTTCCCCGACATCGCAGACGCTTTCTCCATCCCCCTTGCAAAGCCATCTAAGCCGGGAACAGTCACTCAATCAGTCGCCAGCAGCGGCATCAGCCCCACTGCTCCTGGTGCAGTGAGTTCCGCTGGGTAACCCGAGGGAGGCGCGGAGGGTTGTGAGGCGAACGCGCCGCGCCCTCCGTTAGTTTGCGGGCCGTCGGTCTGCGCACTCCCGATGCGCCTCTGGCGATGGGGGCTGCAGGGCGGGTGGGCGCCCACCGCGCGCTTTCCCAAACCCCATCGCTGCGGCCCCTTTAAATCTCCGCCGGTTTGGGCATCCCCGCTCCCCACCTCTCCGTGTCGTTGCTGCTTCGCAATCCCCGCGTGAGCAAAAGGGCTTCCTCTGCAGGGAAGGAAGGGAAATGCCTGTCGGCCGGAGGAGGAGGAGGAGGCGGCGTCGGAGGAGGACGGCGAGGAAAGCCGCAGCCGCCCTGGGCAGCGCGAGGCGGGCAGAGCCGGGACCTTCCCGTCGCGACAGGCAGATCGCGGCGATGCTGGGGCAGGGCGGCCACGCAGCCGCCCCGCGGCACTAGCGCCCCGCGCCGGGGCGAGCCGCCTCCGCGCCGCCTGGCTCCCACCGGCCCGAGCGGCCCCGGGCACTTGGGGGGCGGGGAGCCCGCCGCGCTCGCGCGCTGCCTCCCACCCCGCCGCCCGCCCCGCCGCAACTTGGCGGCGCAGATCTCCTCCCCGCCCCCACTCGGCCGCTCCATGCCCCGACCTGAACTTTAGCCGCCCCGGGGGCTCCGGCAGGGGGAGCCACCCCGAGCGCCGGGCTGCCGGGAGCATGATTTGAAGCCGGCGAGGCGAGAAGGTGGGGAGAGCGAGCGAGGGAGCGCTGAGACGCCGGAAGATGAGCCACGCAGGTGAGGGGCGCGGCTGCGGGAGGCCTCGTCCTCGGGGAAGGGCGGGGGCGGGCGCCGGGGCACCGACCCCAGGGCGCGGCGCGCGGCGCTACTGCTCTGCGGGATGCTAGTCCGCAGCGCGGTTCTGCCCGGAGTGGCGAGAAGCGCCTCCTGGCGCGGGACGCCCAGACTTGTTCACCGCTTCAGACTCCGCAGGCGCGCATCCTCCCCGAGGGAGCGGGTCGCCCTCCCGATCCCGGGATTCCCCCTCGAGTGCCGCCAGGCTCAGGTACCTTCTGGCTCCTGGCTGCCTGTTTCGCCTTCCGCGGGCGATTTTCGGTGTCTCCCCCGCCTCCATCCCTCCGTTGCCCTCAGCCCCTCGTCTAATTCACTCCGTTTCCTGCTTTATTTCTCTGCTCTGGGTATGCGCGCGGCGGGAAGGAGCGGGGCACTGCGGTCCCCGGGCACGTGAGGATGGCCGCCTTTCCCCCTCGCGCCCCTAGTCCAGGCATTTGCGGAGGGTCGGGCGCGGACGCCCGGCCAGTGCTCGGAGCAGCTCCGTGGTGCTTATGCGGCGCCGAGAGTTCGCCCTCAGGAGAGCGCCTCTCCCGTCCGGAGCGGCGGCCGTCGCAGGGCTGAAGGAGGGCAGGGCGGGCGGAGCGAGGGCCGGCCTCGAAAGTTAAGCCGCGCAGCCGGGACATGGGTGGGCGCCCGTCGGAGGCAGCAGTGCCGGAGATGCGAGCTCTCTCTCCGCCAGGCTGCTGTCCTTCCTCTCCCCGCTTCTCTCTGCCTGCCCCCTTTCCGTTGAGCGGGTCTCTCCCCGGCTGGCACAGAAGCGCCGCCGGTCGTGGCACGGCGCTATTTACTATGCCGAGTCTGTCTCGCTGCAGTTTATTTTGCGCTCTGCTTCGGGAACCACGTTCGCCGTTGAGGTTAATTAGCGAAGGGAGGCGGCGGCGGCGGCGAGAGGCCCCTTCTGCGTCCCCAGCCTTGAGCGGCGAAGAAGCGGCTCACGGGGGGGAACGGGGGCGGGGGAGGCGAGACCCCGCGGCGGGGCTCCATCCATGTGGACCGTGCCGTGCGCTCCGCTTCGCTGGTTGAGCCAGGCGTAAGGATTGTCCCGTGTGAACGGCGCTGGATTGGGTATTGTGGGGGGAGCAGCTCACGTACGTCAGCTTTTCCCAGTCGGCTGGAAAGGATGGGAACTGTAGTCCAATGCACCGGGAGGGCGCACTGGGAAAAGCTGGTGCAGCCCTGGGGATCCGTGCTGGACTCCCCCTGCCAATTGCTCCTCCGTTCCCGACCGCTCCGGCCCGGGCTGGCTTGCGGCTCGAGCTCGCCAAGGCACGCGAGGGGCTTTCCAGCAGGGGGCGAGAGCACTTCTACGACCTGCAGCGGCTGGTCGGCCAGTCTTTTCAGCCGCTGCAAATGCTTTTGGCTGTACAGCATCCAGGAAGTCGGCGCGTGCTGGGAGGGGTCCTGCCCCACCAGTTTACTGGTAGCTCTGGCACAGGATGGGTGGGGTGGGGACCCTCCCTAAGCCTGTGCTGGAGAGGAGTCAGGCGAGAGGATCCCCAGAGACCACGCTTACCGCTTGGTTAAGAAGTCACTGTGGTGCCTCCAATAAACTAGGTGAACATGGAGCTAAAAGTGATTGTTCTCGGATTCTGAGTAATGATGTTTCTTCTCCGGGATGGAAATGATTGGCTTTTCTCAAATGTAGCATCCTTCAGAATTTCTTAACCTAGCCCCTCCAGAGGGACTATTTCCCAGGGTGAGACTAAGAAAAAGAGATGCTTTATGCACAGGGCAGAGGAGGGCAGGGAAAGTGCTGCAGAGTAAAAATGAGGCTTCCTCAGCCTGGTGCCCTCCAGGTGTTTTGGACCCTTGGTCATGATTGTGGCATCCAAAACATCTGGAAGCACCGGGCTAAGGGAAGGAGTAACTAAGATGTAATTTACTGTGCAGTATTATTCTGCAGCAGCCCAAATTATACTGCTTGAATCCCACGGCTTCTTCCCACATAAGGGAAGATGAAGAAGGGGCCTGGGGAAGGGGGTAGGCAGAGCACACAGATTGTGGCTAAACCTGTGTGGGCCAGCCTCCATTAGGTCTGTGGCCAGGAGGTTGCCCACCTGTGGCTCTACCTGGATTGCTCTGAGGATTGGGGTGCACCAGATCCTCACCACTGCAGCCTTTGTGGCACCCCATTCTGGCGTGAGGCAAAGAGACCATTGCTGAGCTTACACTGACACGGATGTTTCTGGGTGCTTCTAGGTGGAAAACTTCTGCCGTTACTACTCATTGTCCTCCTGTGCTTTCTTCTCGCTACTTCTTCTGTGGAAAAAAGGCAGAAAAGATGGAATAGCTGCACAATAGCATGAGATTGCCAGTACTAGAAGTCCTTGCTTTGGAAGCACCCTTTGTCTCCAAATAGCTCAATATCGACTGTTTTGCTTTTGTGGTGCTCTGCCATGGGGAATAGCTGTGCATAGACCAGTGTTAGAGTAGATGACCTTCATGTATGTGGCAACCACAGAATACACAAGACTGGATTATTCTAGCTTTTTTCTGTACATTGAGTTCAAGGGGAAGAAAACAATCTGTACACCAAAAAACTGAAATAATGTTTGGACCCTGGATGTTTATCTGTGATACGCTTGGCTGTTAATTCTCATAGGATGCATTAAATGCCTGCAAAATGCATCTGTGCAAGTGCAAGATCCATCCTGCATCTTTGCAAATGCATCTTTGAAGGCAGTCACAAGTAATATGGCACATCATAAATGTCTCATTTATTAGAGCCTTTCCAATAATATGTCACCCAAGCAAGAACCCTGTTTATGGCCCTCCATCCCATCTTTCAGGTTGCATGACTCACCTGATCAGTAGTTGTCAGGGTGTAATTTGGATCAGGGCCAGGATGCTGCACTGTGGAGGTAACCATGTGTGCCCTTTAAAAAAATTCTAAAGTGGCCACCTAAAGCTTTCATAGAAGCACATAAAAAAAACCTTATTCTGAATCAGACCACCGGCCCATCTAGACCAGTACTGTGGACATTGATTGGCAGTCACTCCAGGTTTTGGGCAGCAGTCTGTCTTAGCCATGCCTGAAGATGCTGGGATCAAACGTGGCCCTGCTGTATGCAAAGCATAGTCCTTCCCCTCTTTGCAGCATAGGAAGCTGTCCTCTACTGAGTCAGTCCCTTCATCCATCTAGCTCAGTATTGTCAACACTGATTGGTAGGAGCTTTCCATGATCTCAGGCAGGCTCCCCACAGCCCTACCTGGTGATGCTGGGGACTGAACCCAATTCCTTCTCCATGCAAAGCAGAGGCTCCACCATGTTTTTGTCCTGTGGGTACAAAAAGGCAACTCATATAATCCCTGCATGGGGCTAATTGGGGAAACAGGGTAGGAACGGCACAGTTAACTCCATATCCCATGTGCTACAGTCCCAAATCTGGACTTCTCTTGAGCCTTGCCTGTTATTCACACTTTAACAAATCCTGTCTTTGGCCCCAAGTGACTTTGGCCCCAAGCAGTTACACGTACCATCTGTGGATGCCTCCTCCTTCCCAGTTATACCTTGAGTCTATCCAAGAGCAGACTTTTGAGCATGCATGTATTCACTCTCCTTCCATCTTTTCTGCCATTGACAGAACCTGAAATGCAACCTCTGATTATCCTTTTAGGAATGCAATGCTCAAATCAAGAATGGAGGCAATTGGCACAAATTCCATGGGCACATAAAATTGGAAACGTCTGAATCAAACTAGCACCCTTCCTGGTCGATGTCTCTTAGTAGAAAATAGTGCAATGGAAACAGAGCAAGCCAGAAGGGGTCTCCCTGGCCATCTAGTCTGACCCCTGGCTCCAGCTGGCTCCGCTCATGACATGCAATAAAGCATATCACCTCAATATGAACATGCTTTCCATGGTTATCTGGCCATATGGTGGATGCAGGAAATGCCTGGGTGTTGTGAAGCCCAACCCTCTTGCATGCACCTGGTACGATGCACCATTTGGTTTCAAGCCCCTCCCAAGAAATCTTGTGCTGAGCTTTCTCAGCTATTCTGGGGCTGTAGGGAAATCCATGTGCAAATCCAACTCAAAAATAAGACCACTGAGTGCATAAGGTTGCAGCTTCAGCACCCTTTAGAGCAGCAATAGGAAGCTAACTCTGAATGTGTGGCATAAATGAATGCACCTGGAGCAGCATGGGAGAATTTAAAACAAGCATTTTTAAGTTGTATTTCTCTCAGTGAAAGAGGCAGAGATCAGTCGAAAGGGACAGATTCAGCCCTGGCATCCTCAGGGAGGGCTGTGAAAAACCCCTACCTGAATTCCTGGAAAGCCACTGTTGCTCCTCAAGGTCAGCAATGTTGGGCCAGGTAAACCAATGGCCTGGCAGCATCTGATACTCTCCTTGCAGAGTTTGGGCATAAGGTACCTCTGGTTCTGCTGCAGGATCCCTTGGTGATCTGAAGTAGAATGGTGTGGATTTCTAATTAATTTTTCAGCATCAGCAGAAAGAGCACAACACCCCTGCCCAGCTAAATTGTACTGCTAAAATGTGGAGCAGGGCAGCTTAGGGTGGGTTTTGTACTTTGTGCATTCCCAGCCCTTCTGGTGTCCAAATTCTCAGGCTCAGAATTTTTTAAAAGTGTGGTAGAGATGTGCATGTAAGGGATGGGGGGCTTCCATGCCTGCCCTCTCTGCTCTTGAGGTCTGCTTGTGTTGTAGAGCAATGCTGCATAGACTTCCAATATATATTTTCTGCATCGGGCTGCACTTGGTGGATTGGGGTTCTAGCAAAATGCAGATCCCACACGCCTGACCTCCTCTCAGCCTCATCCTATTTGGCCCAATCCAGTTCCAAGTGCACCCAGAATTGCACATCTGGACTGATGCCATGAGCTGTGCAACTGAAACGTTGGGACAGAGGTTTAGCTTTACCAATATTACGTCCTGCCCTCGTGGGCCAGGTTTTATCCTGTCCTGCCAGAGTCAGTCGGCCA